ACCTGCGAGCCTTTATGTGGGCGCTGAGGACCAGGTTTGAAGACCTGAATGCTGGGCAACAAGCGAAAGCTTTTCTACGCACCTTTAAGCAAGGGCGACAGATGGTTCGGGAATACTCCACAGAGTTCCATAACCAGGCAGCCAAACTTCCCAACTGGCCAGAACACGTCCTGGTGGAGATGTACCGAGTGGGGTTGAACCCTGAAATGCGGGAGACGGTACTTCGATCCATGGACCCGGTATCCCTGATGGCATGGACCCAGGAAGCTGAGAACGCTGAGGGCCGTCTCCAAACCCTGCGCCTCGACATGGCTGCTGGAGGAGGAACGGTGACCGTGCAACCTGCCCAAAGACCAAAGCCCCCCGCCTGTCAGATGCGACCAGAGAGCAACGGCTGCGCCAAGGGCTATGTCTGAAATGTGGAGAGAGGGGGCACTTCGCAGCGGATTGTGGCCAGAAGCTCCAGAAGGAGAAGTCTTCCACCTCCGCCAAACAGAGACTGGCAACCCCGGCAAAGAAAGCACTGGGAAAACCGACATTTGCTAAAGCGTTGCAGGCGTCTCCTGAAGGGGAGGAAGACGACTCTAGCGATGCCGAACTCGAGCCGGCGGGAAACGACCAGGTCCTGTTGTAGACGGCGCACGGCGACAGGACCCTACTCCGGAGGCACCAAGAGTGGTGAGCGAATCCCCCTCCCTGTTCTTAGTGACTGTGTCTTTGATAAATCCCCTATTGGGGACTCATGTGCGCGTAAAAGCGCTGATTGACTCGGGGTGTGGGAGACTTGATTAGCCCTGCTGTAGTGTCGGGTCTAGAGGCAGGGGTGAAGAAATTGGAGGTCCCTTTGATCTTCACCCAGATGGATGGCTCCCCCATGAAACCATGCCTTTACGAGACTATGCCGTTACGTATGGGCGCGAGTCAACATTGGGAACAGCGCTTGTTTATCCTCTCCCCAGACCTGCAATTTCCCCTCGTATTGGGGTCCCCTTGGTTGTACAGCCACGACCCGTACATTCTCTGGGAGGAAGGGAGAATTGACTTTGTATCGCCTAAGTGTGAAACGCACCAGTGGGAAGCAGGATGGGGGGTCGGCCAGCCAAAGACTCCCCGTTTGCGCTCCTGACCAGGGAGGAGCTTGCCTCCTTGCCGCCTGAGTATTCGGGGAGGAGGAAGCCAACGAACTGCCCCCCCACAGACATTCTGATTGTTCGATTGAACTGGTACCGGGGGCTAGGTTGCCAAAAGGGAAAATTTATGCACAAGCACAAACTGTTTGCAAAGCTATCCAAGTGTGAATTCCACAAAACACACATTGACTTCCTGGGTTACCGTATATCGGCTGATGGGCTTGAAATGGACCCGGGGAAGGTGAAAGACGTGGTTGGGTGGGAGGCTCCTCGAACCCAGAGGCAATTACAAGCGTTCTTAGGATTCGCCAATTTTTATCGATCCTTTATCCGGAATTTTGCCCAAATTGCCCTGCCCCGAACTGACTTATTGAAAACGAAGGGGAAAGGCCCCTACGCCACTAAGCCTGGGGCACCGCTGCAATGGTTGGCGGAATGCGAAGAAGCGTTTCGGCGTCTAAAAACTTTGTTCACCTCTGAGCCTGTATTGGCTCACCCTGATGCGACTAAGAAATGTATTGTGCAAACTGACGCTTACGATGTAGTGATGGGGGGGCATCTTGGTGGAGGGGGAGGATGGGCTCTTACACCCTCTAGCTTATGTGTCAAAAAAGTTCTCTGACGCTGAGAGACATTGGTCTGTATGGGAGAAGGAAGCGGGAGCGATAAAGCTTGCGTTATACTCCTGGCGCCACTGGTTGGAAGGGGCGAGGGTGCCATTTGAAGTTTGGACTGATCACAAAAATCTCGAAACCCTCAAGTTGCCCAAATGTCTAAACGCCAAGCAGCTCAGTTGGGCAGATTTCTTTTCTAAGTTTCAATGCACCCTTCACCATTTCCCGGGCTCGGCTAATTCGCTGGCTGACGGATTGTCACGCCTTCCCCAACACGCAAGTCAAAGAGACGTCATCGTCGACTCCATTTTCACTCCTGCCCAACTGGGCGGAGCGGTAACTACTAGAAGCCAAGCCGCTAAGGTTCCCCCCTCTCCTCCCAGCCCTTCGTCTCCTCCTCTTTCCAGCCCATGGCTGCGCAAGTTGCAGGAGTTCTCGGCTGAGGACGAACTGCTTCTGAAAGGGGGGGATTGCGAGCTGAAGGACGATGGACTATGGTATCGGGACGGGGCCCTTTATGTCCCTATCTCCCTTCGCAAAGAGGTGCTGGAATCGGCCCATGGTTCTAAGTTGGCCGGTCACTTTCGGTTTGTGAAGTCTTTGCACCCTCTACGCCGGCAGTTTTGGTGGCTGCACATGCGCAAGGATTTATCGGAGTTTGTGCGAACTTGTCAAATGTGCGCTTTGAGTAAACCGAGGGGGGGGGAGACACCGGGACTGTTGCACCCTCTTCCCACCCCTGGGAGGCCCTGGGAGGTGGTGTCTATGGATTTCATCACTGACTTACCACCCAGCAGAGGGAAAACAGTTATTTGGGGGGGGGGGGGGACCTTTTCTCCAAGCAGGCGCATTTCATTCCGTTTCCCTCCCTGCCTACGGCAAAGACGTTGGCTAGAGCGTTCTTTACGCAAATTGTACGGCTCCACCTTTTACCAGGGAAGGTGATCTCTAACAGATGAACACAATTTGTCTCCACTTTCTGGAAGGAACTCATGGAAATTATGGGGGTGGAGAGGGGCTTGAGTAGTGCTTACCACCCAGAAACCGATGGGCAAACAGAGAGGGTGAACCAAACCCTAGAACAATATTTGCGTTGTTTTACCAATTACCAACAAGATGACTGGTGTGACTTGTTACCGTTGGCTGAGTACTGTTACAACACCACTTCCCATTCGTCCATTGGGATGTCACCCTACAAAGCGGCTTGTGGTTACGACAGCCCCCCCATGCCGTTCCTGGGGGGAACAAAACCATTGCCGCCTGGGGATGCTAATGTATGGTGCCAATCTTTGCAAAAGGCATGGCCAATGTTGTGCAAAACTTTGGAGGAGGCTAAAGCTGCCTATAAGAAACAGGCTGATAGAGGAAGGGTGGAGGGTTGGGCTCTACGGCCTGGAGATTATGTGTATGTGTCTACCAAGAACATTAAGATGTTACGTCCTAGTAGGAAACTAGGATGGAAATTTATTGGTCCATTCAAAGTAAGAAAGGTGATTAATGACGTGGCTGTTGAAGTGGAACTCCCTAAGAACTTAAGGACTTTGCACTCTGTTTTCCATTTCAGCCTCCTCAAGAAGGACACGGGGTCGTGCAAATGGCGAACGGAACACCCGCCCCCGCCCTCCGCGTGTTGGTGGATGGCGAAGCGCACTATGAGATTGCTGATATACTGGACTCTAAGCTGAAACGTGGCAAACTTATCTACTTCGTGGAATGCGTTGATTTCGGTCCCCAGCACCGGGAATGGGTGGAAGTAGGGGATATTCGGGCCCCTAACATGCTTAGAGACTTTCATCGAAAGTTCCTGGGAAAACCGAGAGGTCTCCCGGCGAGACCGGGAGGTGTATTTTCGAGGGGGCAGTATGTCAGCACGCTGCCAAAGAGTTCTGTGTATGCTGTACTTAGTACCTGCCCCCCCTCGCCCATCTCGCTGCAGCCTGTTATGTACATTCCTTTCTGTGAACACTAGAGAAGCTTTGAAACGTAGTTATCTGCAAGGTCAGCAGGTGGAGAGTTGAAGTTATGTCTTTGCGCTTGTTTTAATGAGCTAGGTCATGAGAAAATGGCAATTGTTTATCTATTGAAACCGTTTCTATTCTCAGGCTTTCGGCGTGAGTTTTGGAAGCCTGTGAAAGCGGGAACCATGATTATTGGTTATTACATTTTATGAATTTGTTAGCTTGTGCCCTGCATTTCCTGACCATTCCAAACAGTACCTGTGTTCCAGTCTCTCCATTGCTTTAATAAACTACTACTTTGCTACCAATGAGTATTTATTGAACAAGGGCGATCCGGACATTAATAAAGAAAAGATGAGCGCATGAGAGTGGATATAGACATGCGCAAAACAGCATGGGGGGGTTAGGCACATACGGCATACATAGCAATGAAGAAATTGGCAGCTTGCTGACAGACTGGAACCACCAACTGGGGGTGGAAGGGTGCCCTGGGGATGGTGTAACAAATGCCTGTCTCACAGCGGAGGAGATGACCCAGGATTCATTTGCAGATCAGGATTCACCCAGCGTCTTGCTCTGAAGACAAAGGTGTCAAACTGGCTAAGTGGAGGAAAGCCCCCATTCAGAAACCACCCAGAAGAAACTCAGGTGGGGATGGAGAGAAGGGCAAGAATTATGGTACTTCCGTCTCATGTCATTCATTTCCTTCTCCCTATCCAGCTGCTTGTGCCATCTGTGCAGCAGGTGAAACTGAGGCTCCTCCAGATGATTCAGTGACATGGAGGGAGGCTGAGCAAAAATGCATATGTGTGGAAACCCTCGATGCTAAAAAAGAATAAAATGAGCACCAAATGGTAAGACTTTTTTTTTTAAATACACAATCATTACTGTCGGACTGATCAATTTGCTCTCTGTATGTTTTCAGGATTGGTTGCCATGTAGTGAGCAGTAGCAGCGGGTCTACATGAGAGCAGGAAACCAGGACTCCCATTCGGATGTGTGAGAATGCATAGGTGTGAAATACTGCCAATTGTACCATACGGATATGCAAAAACTTACCCAATGAAAAGATGACAGTGGCTTGTGAACAGCCGAACTGCTTGGTTGAAAAATCAGCTCCCAACCAGGGAGCAGAACGTGAGGCAAAATGGCAGGCGTTTGAACGTCCCTACTGAGGGCTGTCCTGCCTGGCAGATGGATCCCCACAGGAGGTGGCAGAGGGGGTGAAAGGGCTCCTGAATGGCCAACGCGGGCAGGCCAGTGAGATCAAGTCCCTCTACCCCTGTGGAGACACTCACCTGTACCACGGGAGGGGTCATCCATGTCGAAGGCACAGGGTGGGTTGTCCAGAGGAGGGCCCCCCTTCTTCCAGTGGATGGGCCCCAGCCACTTTATCTGCTTTTCTGAGCCCACATAATGAGCCACCACCTGTGGGAAGAAGGGGCTGGATCCAGACCACAGACCCAGAGGGCGCCTTCCCTCCACGTCTGTTGCAACTTCCCAGAATCCCATCCCAATGGAAAGGCCTGGAGCCCTCCCGGCCTTTCACCTCCCACCACCCTCAGCCCTCCCCCACTCCCACCCGGGGCTCCTTAGTGCCTCTTCGGTGCATGGAAGCCCCTTCAGAGACCCAGCGGGGCTGCTTGGGGACCCTCCCCCACCTAGCATGGCTGACACCTCCCCCCCCCATACACACACCTGGTATTCTCCGCTCTCCACATCCCTCATGGCCCACAGGTCGAAATCCATCTCTCGGTCATTGTCGCTGTTGATGCTCACTGTCCCAGTGACACCTGGAGGGGTGGGGGCAGGGAGGGAGACGCACACCATTTCTATGTGGCCCCCCGAACATCAGTGGTCACTCAGGAACCATGGCGGAGTTTGCCTCTTGGACAGGCTCTGGGGCAGCTCCTCTCTAAAGCCAGCCCCCCTCCCCCATTCCCACCCTCTCCTGCTCCCTCCTGGCCTGATCTGTCACAGCCCAGGGCATCCCCTTGGGGCCTTCCCCCAAACCCCAGCCCCAATTTATCTCCAGCTTCCTCGTCCTCTACCCCCACCTCCCCCCGGCCACGCTTTCCCCTCCGCCAAGCCTCCGATACCCTGGATTTTGAGGCCCCTCATCTTTTCCAGGATGCGGCTGGTATCCCGCTTGGTTCCACCTTCACGCAGCGTCTCATTCAGCGCCCTGAGATACAGCAGCAGCACGTCGTGGAAGCAGCCGGCCACCAGGGTCCCCTGCCACAGAGGGACAGAGAGAGGGAGAGAAACATTATGGAATCATCCTGTTTCCCCCAATCCACCCTGCTGGTAGCCACTGCCTTGGACTTGGAGGGGACACCAGGGACAATCTACACAGAAAAGTGCCAGTGGAGCCATAAGGAATGCCATGTGATGGCCCCTGATGGTCTGTCTCAAGTGCCTGGGAGGCAGAGGGCCCCTCAATGGCTCCAGGCCAGCAGCTCCTCCTTGGCTGGGGTAGGGGTCTGATGCAGGGAATCCAGGGGTGTCTCTTGGTCTGTGCAGGTCTTGTGACCACCGTGCCTCAGGCAGGCTTGGATCTCGCAGCCCACCCGAGAAACGAGGCCTGGGATTCACCCTCCTCCAAAGATGACACGGAGGAGACTCCTGGACCTCAACTTCCAGGTGGGTGACAGAGATAGAGGAGGGAAGACCAGTCCAGACCTGGGCGAGAAGAGGCAAGCCTGGAAGCAGACAAGGAAGGCAGAACACAGGAGCAGTGCATGCTGGGTGGGGCAGGTGAACATGAGGAAATGGGGGGAGGAGGGGGCAGTGGTCAGCCGCAAGGCTGGAACACACAGCGCAGGGAGCACCACTGAAAACGCATTCAGGACATTAACTGAGAAAGCCAGGGAGGAAGAAGCAGCAACGGCTGCTCAGAACAGAGAACGACCCGGAAGGCCACTGCAAACTCCCTGCGTGTGATCAAGGGCGAATGCTGACCTGGATCTATCAAGCCAATCCCAGAGACCCCCCTGCCAAGCCAAGCCAAGCCAAGCCACGCCACAGCTGCCTTCTTCAACCCCAAACCTGGGGAATCTCCTCGGTCATTTCTTTGTTACGACGGCCAAGGTGAAAAGTGATCTTGGCCCCAGAATACTGGCTGAGCTCTCTCATCTCACTTCTCACAAAGGGCCCTGGGCTTCATCCCATAATAAGAGAGCACAGAGGAAGGTATGCAAGGAGGGGTGTGCATGGATTTACCAGCGAGTCATTCAGGGCCACACCAAAGTCTCTCTGGGCACGCAGGATCACCCGGCTCTGAAATTGCTGGTATTCGGGGGTTTGGATCCCATGGTAAGTGACCACCAGCACCGTCTGGAATTAGAGAAAAAGGTCAAGGGAGCTCTCTCCTGCTGGCTGGGACTCTTTCAGGAGTTCCAGGGCAGGTCTGGGCAGCTCCAAAGACACAGCAGCAGGTTAGCCAGGCCAGGGTTCTGCCAGGGCTTGTCTCCTGCAAGGTAGAAAAGACTCCCCATCCCGGAGGGCCAGCCTCCCCTGTCCCCCCCCCTTTGACCCAGGAACTCTTGTCTCTGCACACAGAATGGAGGCTGGAGGCGCCACTGGGCTTTATCCAGGTAAAAAACAGGGTTGCACTTACCTGTAAATGGTTGAGTTGCCTTCTGTGCAGGCACACATCTGGGCCCTTGACTGTGCAATCCCAAATGTGGGACTGCACAGAAGGCCGAAAACAAACCATCCTCCTTCCCTGCTGAGGGAGGCCTTTCCCAACCCCCCTTCCAAGTGCCCAGCCAAGGCAGACCCACCCCCCAAGCGCCCCATCTGTGGCTCAGTCTGGAGGAGCCCAGAAACCAACTTCCATTCCCTGCTTGTCGAGAAAGATCTCTGCACCTGCTCAGAATCATGGCAGGACTCATTTTGGCTTCAAATCTCCCAAAGGTCCTGGCTCAACACGTTAAACTGTGGCCCTCCCCAAATCCCACCACGTCCTTAAGCTTGCATCGCAACACACCCAGGGAAGGGAATATCCTTTGGGGTGATTCCAGCACCAATTGTCGGCTCTCTGGTTCTTCTCCCTCCCTCCCTCTCTCCCAGCAGCGGAGTCCTGGACTTACCTGGAAGGCCTCTCGGAGGCCTCCCACATCTCGGCTCTCCTTGCTCTGCCAGGGCTTGGCTGCCTCGCGATGCCCCTCCGCTCTCAGGCTTCTCCCCAAAATGTCCAGGTGGATGAAGACGTAGTCACCATTGGCCATGTTCTGAGCCTGCACCAAGCGCATGATCTCCTGCAACGTCTCTGGTGATCCCAAGATGTAGACCACTAAGGAGAAACCACACCGACCAGAGGAATATGTGTCAGACACAAGCAAGGGACAGAGGGCAGGCAGTGGGGGGCAACATGCCCCTCAGCCATGCATGAAGCGCAAGGCCTGACTTAAGAAGCTCTGCATTATCTGGGTCTTTGGCTCCTCAGCACACGGGCATTGTGGAGCAGTCTCCCCTTCCCGGTCCTGGCAGCCAGGTTCCCATCAGTGTCCTCCCCACCCCCATCAATCAACAAGAACATTTTCCCAGACTGCACTTTAAAATTCATGGACCTAGCAATTCATGGTGCCACGATGGATGGATTTGCATGACTTTTATGTGGACTCCACTGAAATTCACTGTTAAGTTATACATATCAATGCCCATAGTGAGATAACAAAGATCCAACGCTTCATGGCACCACCGTGGGGCTGAAAAAGCATGGATTCAAGGCAGAAATCCTCATGGATCTTCATTATTTTTACATTGAACCCCACAAGATACACAGAATGCGTACAGATCACACTGATGTCCACAAACTGCACAACAATATGTATCCAATTCTTTGGCCAGCGCCATGGTGCAAAAATATGGATTCAGGGGACAGATCTTCATGAATTCATACCATTTTTACACAAGCCTTGTTCACAAATTACAGTGGGCATACGTACAGTCCTAATACACAATATACCTGATTGTTCTTTGTATGTGTGTTGAGTAATTCTCATGTTACAGTCAACACATGCACAGCTGAACGTGTGGTACAAACCCCACATTTACCCAGTACTGGTCCCCAGCATCATGGGTTGAGTGAACATGCATTGGGTCTTACTTACAAATAGATCTATGCATGTACAGTGGACTGTATGTGTGTTTATTCAAAATTAGGAATAAGGCCCGTTGTGGAAATAAATAAACCGAGCGCTAGAAAGAGGCTGTGGGTGGGTGCCCCGGTCTTGGGCACTCAGCATCAATTTGCTGTGGCGGCCTCAGCAGGGTATAATGACACAGAGTCCACTATTTTCTCCAGGGGAACTGATCTCTGCCATTTGAAGAGCTGTTGCAATTCTGAGTGATCTCCAGCCCGCAACTGGAGATTGGCAACAATAGTTCCCCAGGAGGAAATGGCTGGTTTGGAGGGTGGAGTCTAGGACATTGTACCTGTCTGAGGTCCCATACCTCCTCAAACCCCACACTTTCCAGGCCCCACACCTCAAAAATCCAGGAATTTCCCAATGTGGAGATAGCAACCCTATTTCCTTCCCAGGCAACCATCAACCTACCTTTATCTGCCACTCTGATTTCAACTTTCCATCCCCCACCCCACCCCACAAACCAGGGCTGACCCTACATGGCTTCCAAGATCTGATGAGATCAAGCTAGCATGGGCCATTCAAAACATCTTTGAGAAGAAGAAGAAGAGTTGGCTTTTACACCCCACTTTTCTCAATCCTAAAGAGTCTCAAATCAACTTACAATCTTCTTCCCTTCCTCTCCTTTGGAGAGAACTGTGACTACCCCACAGTCACCCAGCAGGCTTCATGTTGAGGAGTGGGGAATCAAACCCAGCTTTCCAGATTAGAGTCAGCCACTCTTAAGCACTACACCACATTGGCTCTCACAACACAGAACTTCATGCAGTTATAATACTGCTTGATAAAACAGCTCAAGGACTGAAAAGTCACCCACTGAATCAGCAAATGAGAATGAACAAAACTGGACTTACTTCCAAGTAGACCTGCTTAGGATTCCTGCCTTTGTGTTGCTGCATGGGCACCAGAGCATGGATCTGTGCTGCAGATCCTCATTTTTTTTACTATCCTCCCATGAGTAAGCTAATGTTCCATACTTTTTGTGAGTAGAATCATAGAATCACAGAGTTGGAAGGGGCCACGCAGGCCATCTAGTCCAACCCCCTGTTCAAATGCAGGATCAGCCTAGAGCAGGGGTGTCAAACATCTGGCTTGTGGGCCACATCCAGCCCCTGCAGGGCTGCTATGTGGCCCATGAGCAACCGGCTCTCTGCTGATTCCTGTTCCTCCTTCCTATTTCCTGTATCACAGCTCTTTTTGCCCAGCCTCTCCTATTTCCTGCTTCACAGAGGAGAGAAAGAAAGCCAAGCCTCCCTTCCCTCGATTGGCTGATCTTCCAGATTTTTCCTTTGGGTCTCCGCAGCATCACCACCAAATCACATATCATGTCCATGCCCATAGCTTGCACCACAAAAATCACGGATCCACAGCTTCGTGGTTATACAATGCTACAAAAACATGGTTCTGAAGCACAGATCCTCATGGATCTTCAGGATTTTTGCTTTGGATCACCCCAACATCATCAAATCACAAATCATGTCCATGGACAGAACTTGCACCACAGAAATCTCAGATTCACGGCTTCGCAGTGACACCCCAGCCTCACCCGCAAATCGCATATCATGTTCATGTCCACGCTTTATACCAAAAAAATCACAGATCCATGGCTTTGAGGCAACAACATGGAGCAAAAACATAGTTCTGAACCATGGATCCTCATGATTTTTTGCTTTGGATCACCCCAATATCAACATCAAATCATCTATCATGTCCATGGGCAGAGCTTACGCCACAGAAATCATGGATCTACAGCTTCGTGGCGACACCATGCAGCGAAAACATGGTTCCTGAACATGGATCCTCGTGGATTCTTAGGATTTTCACTTTGGATCACCCAGGCTCACCATCAACACACATCATGTCCATGGGCAGAGCTTACACCACAGAAATCACGGATCCACGGCTTCGTGGGAACACCATGGAGATAAAATATGGTTCAGCATCACAGATCCTTATGGATCCTCATGTTTTTTGCATTGGATCACCCCAGCATCAACATCAGATCATGTATCATCTCCATGGGCAAAGCTTCCACCACAGAAGTCATGGATCCACGGCTTTGTGGCAACACCATGCTGCAAAGATATGGTTCAGAACCATAGATCCTCATGGCTTCTGCTTTGGGTCATCCTAACATCAGCATGAAATTATCTGCCATGTCCATGGGCAGAGCCTGCACCGCAGAAATTAGTTAACCCATGACAGATGATCACTTTTCATAATTAATTTGGTGGTCTCTATTGAGTGGCTTTGATATTCCAGAGTCACAGATAAGACCACGACTATCGCTGCCTTGGATATTTTTGCAGCTTGGTGGCATCAGAAAGTTCCATATGCAATTCTTTAAAGTGCAAGCTGTGGCTATGGACATATGTACTTTGATGGTGAGCTTGGGGTGATCCAATGCAAAAATCCTAAGGATCCATGAGGGTCCCTGCTTTGGAACCATGTTTTTGCACTGTTGTGTGGCCTCAAATCCACGGATGCATGATTTTTTGTGGTGCTGCCTATAGAATAAGACATGGTCTTTAGCTAGATGGTGGTTTTTATTTCATTTCAAGGTAAAAATCTTATGAATTCATGAGGATCTGCGGAGATCCGACTTCTACTTTTCCCCACGTGACCCTTCCCTTGCCCTCCCTCTGCTTCCTTCCACTCCTCCCCTGTGGCACTCCAGGTTATGCATCAGACAGAGCCCCCCCCCCCACTGCCAGCAAGAGGAAACTCACCAACTTGTAAGAGGAGAAAGAGGGGGACTCCCTTCTGCCCCCCCTCCCTTCTGTTCGACGTGCATGGAGGCTCGCGGCCTTCTCGCCCTCTGCAATGCGTCCCCCTCACCCTCCGGCCGTCCCTCACCGGGGGAGCCCCTGCTGCGCGCGCAAGGATGGAGAGGGGGGGACACGAGGCGCAAGGTCCCACGAGTCCTGGGGGGGGACGCTGCCGGCCTCCAGAGGGGACACACGGGCAAGCCGTCCTCCCAGGGCTGGCTCGCCAGCTAATTAAATGGAAGTACAGTGCAGGTGGTAAGTTGGAGCACTTTGGGGGCAGCCCTGGAGAGAGGGGGCCCAGAAGAAACACAAGGGGGCCAGGCCCCGTGGGCCCCATGTTAGCTACGGGCCTGCTCCGGACTCACCTCGCCCGTTGGCCCGGATGAACCGGACAGCCTCGTCGACCCGCTTCTCATAGCGGTACATGCGGTCAGTGAGGGTGGGAGCGACCCATGAATGCTGTTCAAAGGTCAACCAGGAGTAATGGTGTCTCCAGTCGCTCCCGGGACCGACGGCAAAGACGGGAGGGCAGGTCCAGTTGAAGTGCCGGAGCAGCTGCTCCTCGAAGGCTCTGCGGTCTGCGGGCCTCGCTGGGCCGGCGTACACCGTCGTGTTGCCGGAAGCTCGGCTCGTATGACTCCAAGAGTCCCCGGCTCTGAGGAGCGGCAGCCGCCAGTGCCGGGCTAACGCCGCCAGTGAGGAGCTTATGGAGCAGGCCAGCCCGAGCAGCACGTCGGGGTCGTGGGAGCTCTGCAGATCTATGGTCTTCCGGAAGGCCACGTCGTAGTCGCAGTCGCCGTTCTTGTTCTCGGTGGAGGCGAAGGTGGTGCGGAGGGCGAGGCCGGCGTGGCGCAGCTGGGGCTCCAGCGCCTCCAGGGCCAGGCTCAGGGCGGGGCCGACGCGCGGCCGGGCCCAGGGGTAGGCCCAGGGGTACGGCATGTGCTCCGGCAGCAGCACCCCCACCCTCACCTCCACCACCGACGGGGCGGCGCTGGCGTTGGCGGCCACAGGTCGGGCAGTGGAGGGCGCCAGCAGGGTCGCCAGGGCCCCCAAGAGCTGCAGTAGCAGCGGCACAGCCATGGACGAGGAACTCTCGGCTGTAGAAGCCGGAGCCCGTCTGTAGGACAGCTGCGCT